CACAAGGCGCGCGGTCTTCTTCTCGATGGTGCGGGTCACCTCCTGCAGGCCGGTAACGACACTGAGCGGGGCCTTTGTCGACACCGTCTTCTTCGGGTTGTTCTTTTTCTCCTCGGCCACCTTTGACAGACGCTCCTTGCGGGCTCTGCGGGTCTCGGGGGCGTACTTCCTCACTAACTTCAGCAGCTCGTTGCGGCTGGAGCGGTCAAGCACCTTCGTGAATTGGTGGAGCGCGGGCGGCACCTTTAGGCGGCGCTGCAGCACGCGCTTCTTCCGCTGCATCGTCACAAACGTGGGCCACCGCATAAAGCGAGAAAGGTCGCGGGCGTACGGGACATCGTGGCCAATGCCGAAGTTCTTCGGACGCGCCACAAAGGGCGAGGGGGCCGCCTTTTTCTCCTTCTTGTAGGGCGCAGCAGCCTTGGCAGCAGGCTTCGTGGCAACCTTTGCGGCGGGCTTGGCGCCCCTCTTCACTTCCTTGCCGGGCATCGGTAGTGTGCGCTGGAGTGTGTGAGGCAGGCGGGTAAAGAAAGGAAATGGCAGGAGTGCAAAAGCGAAAAGGAAAAAAAAAAGGAAAAAGGTGGGAGCAAAAAAAAAAAAATGGCACAATTGGCAGCTCGGTTGGGGGAGGAAGGAAGACCCAAGCCAGCCGGCCAACAGCAGCACGTAAGACTAACACTAAGACTGCGTGTTTGTGCACAAAACAATAAAAGCTTTGGAAACATGGCTCCTCCTTCGCACATCCCCACACAACGGCACTATTATCGCTTTCACCACCACCATATTCACCACATTTTCGGAGTTCCTTTTCAACAGTCGCCGTTGTTGATGAATCTCTGCTGCTCCTGCCCTGTCGTCTTCCCTCGGGCTCCTTCCTCATCCACCGCTGGCTTCTTGCGTGTTTGATTTGTTACATTCGTATTTTCCCCCACCCACCCTAGTGTTGGTGTCAGTGTTGGTGTTGGTGCTGTTTCCCCCACCCCTACCTTTTGAATTGACGAGGGTTCGAGCCCTATGGAGTTTCCTCGTCAGTCGGCCACCCGTCCTCTGTTCTTCTTTAGTTATTTCTACTTATATTCGTCTTCCTGCTGCTACTGTGTTCCACTACACGAAGATAGAGCTCCTACGCCGTTGGGTGGGACTGATGAAAACGGTGTTGCAATGTTTGGCACACATCCGCAAAGAGGACCTCAACGGTCCGCCAGCACAGCCACCATAGCACCATCGCGCAGTGGCGATAAAAGCGCACGGTGGAGAGGAAGGAGAGGAGTCAGCTGGCGGTGACCCGCTTTAGGTGTGCGCTACTGTGCACCAAGTTCGCTGGAAGCACGCGCAGGCTGCGGCTCTCTGTCTGCGGCGCCCCCAGAGAGCCACTGCCGGCGGCGGGCAACACCCCAAGCTTCTTCTCCACATCCCTTTCAATCTTACGCTCTTCACGTTCAAGGAAGTAGCGAAACAGTCGCCGAAACGTTGATTGCTCATCCCTGCCGTCTACCTCATTGTCGCCATCGTCACTAAAGCTTAACGTCGCCCCACCACCACCTGTGCTATCGCTACACGCATTGCAGGTATCACTGAATTTTTTATGTCGTTGTTTCCGCAGTGAAAAGGAATAATTGTTTCCATTGCGGCGTCCACTTTCCTCATCGCCGCCCAAAAAGTTGAACTTCGCCTCCATGACGACTCTGTTGCGCAGCTTCAGCTCGGCGCGTATGCGCCGCTCCTCCTCGAGCTTGCCAGGGTGGAAGAAGAAGAGTTCCTGCGTATTGACGTTCATGAAGCGCACGAGGCCGGCGGTGGTGCGGTACAGCACCCAACCGTCGGGGATGGGGTCTACAAGCAGCATCTCTTCCACTAGCAGCAGGAGGTCGTCGTCGCGCGGAGAGCGGATGCCAAGGCTGCAGCAAAACTCCTCAATGTCAGACATCTTGAGGGCAGTCGCGTCGCCATCCTCGCCATCCTCGTCCTCCTCGTCCTCCCCAACCAGCGTGAAGGACATCCCCGGAGGCTGAGCGTAATCGTGCAGAAACCCTAGCGCCATGTACTTCCGCTCCACCCGCCACCGTGCCGCACGGCGCCACCGGGCAATAAAAAGACGCACACGAAACGTCACAACGTACGCTGTGATGCAGGCACCAGCGCCCACCCACGGCACCCACGCTGGCAACGCCTGCAGGACCGTCCGACCAGCGTCACCCACCGTCTCCGCGTCGTACAAGCCACGTCCAATTGTATGCAGCGTCGACTTGAGAGACATCATTTCTGTAGGGGTGAAAAGGAGGAGGGTGCGGGATTCACCGGCAGAGGCGCCGTAACAAAAAAAAGAAAAAAGAGAGAGAGAGAGAGATAAATAGAATAAAACGGAGAAGGAAGTAACAGACAACGAGAGCTGTGCCTTCCTTCACTAATATCGCTACTACCTCTTCTTCTTCGTGGCGACAGGAGGAGAAGGAGAAGAAGGAGAAGAAGGAGAAGGGGGTGTGACGCAGGTGCGAAAGCGCAGAGGAAGGAAACCAAAATAATAATAGCAATAAGGTGATAATACGTTCGTGCAGAAAAAAAAAAGGAAGAAGAGGAAGAGGGAGCTTACTCCTTCCTTCCTCAAATCCACCCACTCCATCCCTCGTCTTTGTCGTCTCGCTGCAATCACCAGACGTATTCACATCAATACGGGGAGACGGAAGAAACTGTCTGCCCCCTCCCCCGCATACTCATAGTTTACATTGCCCAAGCAAAAGTGACCCTCATACATGCGTGGTCATCTCCACAATGCAGGCGACGTCGCGTTAACGCCTACGAAATCGTCACAAAAAAACTCAAACTGTTGCTTAATGTAGACGAGGGTAGTTCCACAATGGACGGTCTCGACGACTGCGAAGGCAAAAAGTCCACCCCCGCCGCCAATTGCCCTGCGCCCGACGTTGCCGTTTGCCGTATTGGCAAGTTATCAATTCCCATCCAGATAACATGCAGCGTCATATCAAAGAGGGGAGTCCAATCAACCTCCTTCGCATCCTCTGCGGCAACAGCTGCAGACGCGTATACGACAGGGATAGGGCAGGTGGATTGCACCCCAAGCATCTTACGGGAATTCCCCACTGACTGCTCCGTCAGAAAGGCGCCGCTACCGTTACCGCCAACAGATGAAATCCCATCCACTCTTTTGTCGCCTGGAAGCGCCTCCCATAGCACGCTAATCGGCACCTCTCCTGCGTTTCCACTAAACGCCTTTTGAAACCTTACAGCCAAGACAATATCATCATCCCGCTCCGTTTCGTTGGGGGCCTTTCTCCATGCCATCTGGGTAGCGTCCCAATGGGTGCGCAGGAGCACCTCCTCCTCCAATTGTTTCGAAAGCGCTGCACCAGCAAGGATAATATCGTCATGCAAGAGACTGTACCGCCTAGATAGCACTAACACCATTTCAACACCGATGGACTCATCTGCCCTCCGACTCCGTGCTCGCGCCGCAAAGACGTAAAGGAGCAGTCGTGGATGTTGAAGGGCGGGTAACCACACGGTGAGTGTCTCTCCAGACACCCAACAGCTTAACTGCCGCATGGCTGCTTGTATGCGAGACGCCGTGGCATTCTGACCCTTCTCCCTCAAGCTAGATAAAAGTCCCTCCATGTGATCTTTTTCCCAAAGAAACAGCAACTGAATAATGTCCTCCCGTGGCATCTTCTCCGAGTCTACGGTCGAAGTCGCTAGACCCTCCGGGCACGGGGTCAGATCCGCGCCGCTCTCAGCCTTCACCAACGCAGGTACTGGGCTGCGGGCACCGCAAATGAGACTCTGCTGTGAGACCTCCAGCAGCTCGCGGTACGCCACGGCAACTGGCTCGTCCATGCAGAGCGCACAAAAGTCATCGCTTGACTTTCGAAGCTCATCCAGGAATCCCGGCTCTGAAGCCCCGGCTTTTGAGGCTTCTTCGATGGCAACACTGATGCTTAAATTCATTCTCTCCCCACCAACGCCTCCCTCGGGCGCAATCAGCAAGGCTCGTTGACGCAGCATTTCAACCAAACTTAAGTGGAGCCTGACGGTTGCCATACGAGCCGCATAGATCCCAAACGCCAACCTGTTAAACGCTTTCTCTACAAGAGCCTCTGGCAATCGAGACGACGCGGGTGAAGCATCCTCAAAGGCACCGGGTTTGAAATCGTGCCGGGTCAAAACGCGAAGCGACCGTCGTCTTCGTGTATCAGCATCTGTGTATTTTTTGGTTTGCAACCACTTGGCCAAAATCCGCAGGATGAGTGTGAGATCGTCACGGTCAACGTTTGCCTGCCACTGTACGGGGAGAGCACCGCCACTGGTATTCTTCTTCCACAAGCTCTGCAGCATAACTTGTCCACCAACAAGGCCTGTATGCAGTTCAATGATGTTTGACATTTTAACATATGCTGACGTGCGACTGCCACTTCGCCAAGGGGCACCTTTCTTTTCTTCACCAGTAGACCAAGAAGCAGGCCCTTCAAACACCAATGTCGTGCCTTCCCGCTTCCATGGCGAGAAAATCCTCTCGTCCTGTAGTAGGGAAAGTAAATAAAAGCGAGGGAATGATGTTTCCTGTGTCAGCATGAGACACCACTCCTCCAGCATCTGCGCACACGCATCATTTTGCCTCGTCAAGTTGCATCCGTCCGTTTCGTTGTTTAGATAACCCCACAAGACAAAGCACAGGAGCACTGGGGAACGCGCTGTACTTCCCTTCCGTGCGGAGTCCCACACACCGTATCTGCAGTAGCGCGAGAGGTGTGTGGCGAGAGACTGAATGAATACCGCCTGCTCAAAAGCGAGCTCAGGGACTGCCAACGCAACCATGATGCAGTGACCCCGCCCTTGTTCCGCTAGACCGGTACGGAAGCAGACGGAGACCGTCTCCATCAACTGATCCACTTCCTCCGGTGTTGAAACACGGCAAAAGCGACAGGACAATTTCTCTGCCTTGAAGTATCCCTCGTAGTGTTTTACGGTGTCCTGCAAACTCGTTGACAGCAGGCAGAGCGGCAGGCAGGCGCCTAGGCTGAACCGCAGCCACTCCTCCAGGGAGTGCACCGTAGCAGGCGTATTCCCCACGTAGTCATACAGAGTGCTCACCTCACTCTCCCCCTCACTGTTCTGCTCCTTCACGGAAAAGAGAAACGCATTGTAGAGCTGTGAGGCTACTAACTCGCACGCCGTGTAGTTCAGCTTTGCCCAGGAATAGAAGAAGTTACGAACCAACTCATCTGCCCCACGAACCCCGTCGCCCTCGATCCACGCACGAAAATCCGAGGTATTGTTAGTAGAGGATGTAAAGTCGCCAATGACATTTCTGAGCACGGCGTCGGAGGATTCTGCGTACACGTTGCGCACGTACTTTTCATCAACGACGTTACTGCCACGATCCAGGATGCAATGCAAAACCCTGTACTGCTCCGTGTTAAACAGAATAACCAGCGGGGAGTACAATTGCCCACGTAGCCGCAGAATAACATCGCAGTGAACGATTACACCTGAGAGGATATACCACGCAAAAATCCCACGAAACTCGCATGGCCAGCCGCACCCCATCACCTGCACCACTCTATCCACAAAATTGACCGTGGCGTAGAATTCCTTGTGCAATTCTGTAAGCATCTCAAAGGAGTGGGGTGAGATGCGTGATTGATAGGGTCGCAGTAGCTCCGATGCGCTTAGAATAAAGGGTTCAAGCTTACGCGATTCCCAGCACCTACCAAGAATACCCACCTCAATCACCCTCAGCGACCGCTCGACGGAACAGATGGCCTGCCTCATATATTTCCATGACTCCTGCAATCGCTTCTCCCTACTATGATGATGTGCTTCTGCACGCTGCACCCGTACTTGGTAGTTACTCAGGACTTTGACCAGCACACCAAGGCGCTCAACCTTACGGCCATTGGATCCTGTTAGTGTGTCGAGATCCTCGCAAAGCAGCGCACGCGCCTCATGCAACGCTTCACTGTAGGCTTCACTGTAGACGTCAATAGGATGTTCGTCTTCGCCGGGCGCATTCCCAAAGTATTTCTCCTCTACCTCGTTTCTAGTAAGCGGACTCTGCAGCAGAGCTGTCTGCACCAGATTGTTCACATCAGGTGTGAAATAAAAGTTCGTGATAGTCATAAACCGCGACGCCAGACTGCCCTGCTTGTCACATGTCACCCTGGAGGAGGAGACGCACACCACGTAAAAGGACGGCAGCACCTCCACGTTTTCGCCAAAGAGAGAGATCCTTACCGGTTGGTTGTGCACCATCGCCTCGCGCAGAATTGGCTGAAGCGCCAGCAAAGGACGCAGCTCATGCAGCACAAAGGATACGGAGGCGTCACAGATCAACAATCCATCACCTTGCGTTGCCGCTTCCAGCAAATTCTTCGTAAATCCCCCGTTCAACGCCGATGCCACAATGCATCCACCGCACATAATATTAAGGTAGTGCTGTACCACGCCTTCAAACGCCGGAGTCACTCCAGCAAAAAAAGGCCAGTAAAAATGTGTCCTTTGTAGTAGAGCGCCCACGCACAGCCGTTCACTGTTAGAACACATCGACATTAGTGCGTTGTTTGTCATGTCTTTTATACTGCGAAAGAGCAACGAGACCATGGGATCGTCAAGGTTGGTTGGTGCCTCAATACCCCAGGCACTCAGGAGGCCGTGCAGTTGACAAAATCGTCGTGTCTGCTCCTCTATTGGAAGCATAGCAAAGAAGGCACGGTAGGCAGCCACCATGATCACAGATCCTTCTCCCTTTTCGGCAAATACATCTTGTGCGATTGTTTGATCCGGTGAATGAAAGGAACTAAATCCATCCACAATGTCGGAAAGCAAGACTAGAGCGCCTTGACGCTGAATACCATCGTTCTTCATTGCATCCATCTCCTCAGAGCGCCTCAGCAGACACGCCACCTCCGTGCGGCCCTCCTCCAGCCTTTTTGAGATTTTTTGCGCCCGCCGCTCAGCCGTGTCGGCTTTGCTGAGCGCATCGAAGTGGTCCAGACGCATCTCCCTCAACCGTTCATCTGTCTCCTTCATCGTCTCGCCAAGGCGCGAGGACTCTATAAGAGCCAAGATGTAATCCGCAATTGCGCCTGCATATGGAGAAATTTCGGTATAACACACCTCCTGCAGGGAGGCATGAAGCTGCGCGAAGGACTCATACTTTATCGTCCCAGGCGACACTGCCAGCAACCTTGAAATAAATTTTTGGGAAGTGACGATTGCCTTGCCGCTCTCCCACAATTCCTTTCCGCTCGACGCATGCAGTTCCTCGCCAACAACCTTGCACACCGCCCTCATCAGCAATACGCCTTTTGGAGGAGGTGGAAGCTTACCAAATTGCTTAATCTGAGAAAGCTTCACAGCGGCTAAGCGGGACCCCATGGTGGTGAGCGTCAAAGTCATGCTCCCCGTTTGAGTTTGAATGTTCTCCTCCTCATGCATGATAAGTGCCCCTGTCTTTTCTGCATCCTGGCGAAAACGGGCTGCCAAACTTTGATGACGCAGCATGTGATTTTCTTCCTTCTTTGCGCGTGTGCGGAGCCTTTTTATTTGTCGCTGAATCTCCGCCTGCGCCGACTCCGCCCTCTGTTCAAAACATTCCTTGTACTCCTTCATCTTGGCACGGATGGCGGTGGGCAATTCAGTGATCTGCCGTGACTGGGCAGCCTCGCGTCGGAGTCGCTCGAGGAAGTAGCGAAGCCGTTGTGTCTGAAACCCAAACTCCAGCAGCTGCTCCACCTCCAGGTTAAGCTCCGTTTTCATGACATTGAAGATGTCGCACAAGAAGTGTGTCAGGGAACGCCCGGCCAAATTTAGCGGACCCAGCGGCATCGGTTGGACGCTGCGACCAAGACTACCGCCCTGCACCACAGCTTCATATATCACCTGACGATTCGCCTCTTCGGTTTGTAAGAGTTCGTGCACGAGTTCCCACAACATCTCCTGCGCCCGCAAGGAGACAGGAATCATGGAGGAGACTAAGGGAACTGTGTCGCCTAGGCGCTTAAGTTCCTCGTAACTCAATATATGTGTCACAATGCATAGCCGCTTGCTGATGCGCTGCTTCAGCTCAGCAAACTCAGCCGGCGCCAACCCACTAGAGCCCCGCCGCACACCCCGTCTACCGTGCAAGAGAAAAAATAAACCTTCCAACGCAAAGAGAGGTGTGATGTCACCACCCCGCACGATCCCATCCAGCATACCCATCGGCCACGTGAGCCCCAAAACACAGCTAGGCACAAACACAAGCAACCTGCCTTCATGTCTGCAGGTGTGTTCTATGATCTCAACAAGATCTTTTTTGAACCGTCCATCCGCATCATCGTCAGCATAGTTTTCACGAAGGAATGCTATGTGGGTACGCATCGACGAGCCCCACACATGCAGAGCGCGACGAATGCCGCTATCGTATCTTCCAACAAGCGCCACGTGCGTCTGGCGCTGCCGCAGGTATTGATGAAGAACTAAAATTGTCCGTGACATCCACAGCGGCAAGTAATCTGCGTGCGCCAGACGTGGAGTCAGCACTACACCAGGTAACGTTTCAGTCATTCTCCGCTGTGGTAAGGGGGGCGGAGAAAAAATAATACTGCTGCGAGTGTCGATGTCAAGCGGCTCCTCAATCAAGTTAGACTCTAAGGCCTCTTTATACACCCGCATCCAACCTTGCACAGTCGCGCTGGTGCAGGGCGGCATATCCGCCCCACCACCCTCCTGATCCTCCACCGCAATCTCCTCTTCCACCGCATTAAACGAGACAGAATCACCTCCAAAACAATTTTTCAAGCTGGTGTTGGCCAGTTTCATTAGATCAGACTCAAACTCCTCTTGTCCTTCATTATTGTCAATCATGTTTACGTAAAAGGCGTACACAGAGTTAAACATAATTCTTGCCGTCACGGCATCATCCCACGCGTTAGCAAGAAAACGCAAAGCTCGATCAGATATTTTTAGAAAGAGGTGCACGTACGAGGTGCGGGCCCTATTGATCAGGTTAAACCCAAAACTGCTCCAGGACTCGCGTTGCTGAAGCATGTCGTCCTCCTCGTCGCTGTTTACTGGCAAGGTGACCTCAGCATCATCTTTTGCCAGCTGACCCACCAGTTCACTGGGCATCCGTCGTATGGCAAGAAGTTGAGCAGCAGCAATAAATGCACTGATGTCAGCAGAAACGGTTACCCCGCGCCGTCCCATACAGACGACTTCAAAAAGTTTTTGCACTGACCCCACAACCTCGGCATCCTCAAGCTCTGGTAGTCGAAGTTGCACTACAGCATTCTCTACTGCCACGTCGTAGGATAACTCTGGAGTTGCTGCCCCCGTACAAACGACGTCGTCGATGGGAATGTAGCCCCGTGAGGGTGTACAGATCGCGGAAAAGCGATTAATAAAGGAGAAGAGATGCATAACAGGTGATGAACCGCCTTCCACGGAAAGATTTGCATCGTCTACACAGAGTATCAGCTTTCGTCCAATAGAAGGTCCATACCTCTTGGACTGACGCAATGTCATTCTCTGTAGCAAGGCCTCAGTGATCTCAACAGCTCTGCACGCGGTACTGTTACAGACAAGCTGATGCACCCACCGCTCGTTACATCCCATTTGCCGCAGTATAGTAGATTTACCCTGCCCGTGGCCTCCGACAATTAACACCGACTGACCAGCATCAATCAAATATTCCAATGCGGTTAGGGTTGTCTCACGAGAGGCAAATGAAAAAAAGTGCGACCATGTACACTGGTACGTAGTCAAGCCATCCCATTTCCGCGCCCACATAGGCGTAAATCCAACCTCAGATGTTGCAGTCGCCGTTTTATCTATCTTTCTCCAGCCAACAGGCGTCGCAATGTAAAGCAATATATCATCCTCCAGTGGTGGCAGCACATCTTCCGCAAAACCATTCTCTTTGGCTACTCGGTTTAGCCTCGACTGAAACTTTTCAAGCGCCTTTTGTAACACATGACGCTCCTTCTCAGGTAAGCGCCATCCGAGAGACCAGCAGACTGCAAAAACAGCGCACTGCAAAGCAAAAGTCCGGTCACTAATCCATTCTTCACGACCCACACAACGTGATTTCGCATAAGTGTACCACTTTTTGTACAGCTGAGAGCACCTGGAAGCCACGGCAAACAGATTTTCATACGATGCAGGCCTCCGCTCAATCGTTTGATGCGTGTCAAGGATGTAGTCAATCAGAGTTACCATAACAGGATAAACCACACCCGTGTGATAGCTTGGCGCAGTGCCAAGAAGCTCCTTAAAGAATGTCTTCCAACGAGTTGGCGCTGGTACAGTAAAGAGAGCAAAATCTGCCATCACACGAGGGTTAGCAGTGTGAAGCTCAGAAGTTACTGCAATGAGACGTACCCTGGACCCCTTTATAAAGTCCGGTCCCGAATACGGTCGCACCCTTGCAAAAGCAGGGGCATCAAAAGCAATAGATACCTGTGAAAAATCAGCGCCCTCGATAACAATAGCATGAGTCGACAACGGATTCCATTGCTTGGCTAAAGCACTGAGCAGCCCAGGCTGACGTGCATCACCATAAATCTCTGTACAACTCATCAAGCGAAAGGAAATTACAGAATGATGTAAATCACCAACCCAACGCCTCCAAAGTCGTGTCTTTCCACAATAGGCTGGTCCTACCAGCACCACATTAGAATTCGCTGCCATGAAGCGGGTAAAACGATCCAGAAGAGCATCAAATCCAGAGGAAGTTTCCACTTGAGTCAGTGCATCTTCCCATGAATCCTGTGAAATATCAAGCGTATGCAACATATTCCATTCCACCAGCTTTTGCAAAGGCTCATTGGGTTGAATTGCCTGCCAAAATTGATGTAAAAATGATGTACAAAAACTTGTAATAATTGTTTCCCGGTTAACTTTCATAGCTTCGCGTATGACGGCAAGTAAGTTTTTCTTGGTAAAGATAGTGGGAGAGAACTCCATCAGCTGTGCGTACATCAAGGCCAGTCTTTGACCCACCGTCATCCACTTCGAAACTCCAAACACATGAAGTGCGCATTGAGCAATCACGGTGAGATCTACAGAAATAACGTGGATGGGACGAAAGGCAAGGGAAAGACTCGTTGGGACCTTCTCCGCACTCGTCGTTGTAAGAATCATCTGAAAACAGGGATTCTTTTGTACGTATTTGGTTGTGCCATCGATTTCAAACGAGATTGTATCAACTGCATCATCATTCTGCTGTTTTTCCAACTGACACGCAACTTCAATGCTCCGAAGGAGATTAGTAATAGGCGCAATAAGAGACTTCTCAAGGGTATCTATGTCCCGTAAACAAAATACGGCACCCACACCTAAGGCCCCACGCAAACCTTCTGCAATCCCTTCCAAGGTGAGCGCTGGGTGACACTGAAGACACCACCAAAAACGACCCAAGAATTCGGCACAATATTGATACATCGCGGCCTCTGCTGGCGCCCCAATCATAATGGGAATGGATGAAGCCGCAAAAGACATAAAAACAGAGTACAATCCTCTTTCAACATATTCAGGGGTTAACACGGGAAGCGTGTAGTTCCCCAAAAACTCCATACCGTAAGGAAGACGAAGCCCCAACGTTTGAACAAAAACATTATCGTTTTCCATAAAAGTTTGTGATATGAATGTTTTTTGAAGAGCCTCTTTTGTCTGAATGCCTGTTTTTATGGCCAGTTGTACTTCTCGTCTAAAAAATAAAAAAATGGTAATGACACTAGAAACAAGCTTTCGTTCTCCAAGTTCCATGGGTGCGGCTGCAAGTCGCACATACTCTTCCGTAAGATCCTTTAAACGCGTTGCGTAAGCGGTAATACCCGTACCACCTGCAAGGGATAAAGCCTCTAACAAATCTCGGTTATGAATAACACGCAAAGCCACATCCGCTATTTGGACACAAGAGCCACGTAACCAATTCATGGCGTCAACATGATAGTGGTTTTCGACAGACGCTTGTAGTTCATGAAGCAAGGAAGAACGCAAAGTCTTTTCAAACGTCTTCATCCATCGATCAACAGGAATGGCAGATAATTTAATTGGCACTTCTGCCTTAAGTCTTGCACCATCTGTGGTAATGAACGTCGTAACTGTATTTTCCTCAACTCCAGCATCACAAACACAACTGTACATTTTTGAAAGCAGACGCAACAATCGTGCAGGCTCAAGTACAGAAAGAAAAGAGCTCAGCTCTCCATCACTCAAAAAATAAAACCTTGGAAAGGACTCTCGTTTTGCATCTAATAAACCCCTAACCACTTTTCGAATATCACTCAAAATAGTGGCCGCCAAAGTAAGTTGCTCCTGTATATTTTCCTGTATCATGGCGGTAAAAAGAGTATATTGAGTTTTTTGCAACGCCGTCGACAAAACACTAAAAATACCGTTGATTGAGCCTACTTTCTCATGCAAAAATTTCCATTCACGTCCTCCAATTGCAGGGGTCTCACCCTCGCTTATCTCATCAAGAGTCATGCCAAAATACATCACTTCCATCCATTCATATTCAATTTCAGTCCAATTTGCTAATGTAATTAGCATTCTTTCGACAGCTGACTCCCATTCATTAATGGAATTAATTACATATTGACTTACAGAAACCTGATGATGCAGCACCCTTAAATCAAGCAAAAAACTCTCCAATCGCGAAGATATAGAATCCCTACATAAAGGAGATAAGGCCAAAATACCCTCAGTTCCTTCAACAGTGTAAAATACAAAACGAGTCCTTTTTGCCTCACTTTTCATTCGCTCTAAGGAAGCTTCAGCTTCAAAATCAACACTAGCCTGATCCACTATTTGTTTCAATGCATCAAAGTGGTCCTTAATCCCAGCCTCTAGCAGCAACTGCAATGGTGAACTAGCATCTATTTGTATGTTCGTCTTTGTATCCTTTCCAAGAATACGCGAGATTTCTTTCCAGTGATTCTTGCGAAGTCCTGGTGCTGTAATACGTGTGAGAATCCCTTCCAAACATTCAAATTCCGCTAATACGTGCTCTTGTTGACGACCAAGCCGCACCAATCCTGGATAGGCACGAAGACCACGTGTAGAATGGCGAAGAAGGCGTCGACAACATCGAACATGGTCAATCATTTGTGTGGCATTCAGCATATTAATGGGCTGATTGTAATAGTCTCTAACGGTAGTTGAGTCAAAAATAGTATTCCAAAACTGCTCCAATACATCAAAGGTACGTAATATAGGAAAAAAATCTTCAAAAGAATCAACTTCTTCAATTTCCAGTGATTTTTCACAATATGTGATGTGTTCAAATCCCTTCAAGACCTTATCGACAAGAGCCCGAAGTTCCTCGCAAGTTTGCGCGGCTATGTCGCTTACGTCAAGATTAAATAAACCCAGTAGCTCTGCAACTCCATCACCTATCGTTGTTACGTGTCTTTTTATAGCGTTTCGAAATTCGCTCAATTTTTCTATAATAAACGGTTTGCTTTTTGTACATACTTCGCGAGATTTTAAAGCTAGCTGCATCAGTTCATTTGGGCACCGCATCAAATCCAATGCTGCAGCATAAAGTTGAGTATCCACTGGTATTTGAAGAGTCTCTAAACAATGAAACCATTCTATCACCTGATTGCAATCTTTCATTTTAACATCATTTGATCGGGATTCAGTATAAGATACAACATGGAAAAACTCCTCCAACTCTTCAACGGTCTTTGGCTCCTTATTTAAGCACGTATTGTAGCAACGAAATCCCTCCACAGCTTTTGTAATGTATGAAAATAGATCTTTTTTTAGTGCTTCCAAATATTTTTCCAAATACCTTGTCCAGTGTTCCACATACCATTTTTTCACCTCAGTACAATTTATGGCAATAGAACCAGAAACCACAACATCTGGGGAAGTCTTTGTAATTTTTGCAATAGTTTCACGAAGTAAATAAACCTGATCTTGAACAATTGTATCCTTGGCACGCGTGAAGTACGCTCCATTTATTAGGGGTAAAGTTGAAAAACGGGTATATTTTCTTGTCAATTCCTCAATTCGAGACCCTGCAACATCAAGAGAATTAATTAGAACGCCTTTTAAAGACAATTCCTCCGCACCAAATGAGTTCAACGTGCACCTTTGAAAATCAAGAGTTCGCATAATGACAGACTCTGGGGTGGGAAGATTATTACAACTATCAAGCAACTCATCTAATAGATCAACAAGACCAAAGCGCAACGCGGCAAAAGAAGGTGAGCATGGTAAACCAGAATCACTAACCGTAAGCTGAATCTCAATCAGCGGAATTTTGCGTGCTCTTGAAAGTGGTATAACACCATCTTCAACGGTCGTGAAAAAATACACTAAATCCTTCAGTGCTTCAATAATAGAAGTCCGAATTCGGTTGACAAGAAATATCCGTACGGCTAAAAATATGCGTCGTAGTTCACTCTCCTTGAACGTCTGATAATCCAAGAAAATAAATTCTCTCGATCCCAAAATTTCGCTAAATAAAAGCATTTCTAACTGAGTGTAAAATTCAATTCTTATCCGCGTAAACGCAGCTCTCATTGAGCATCCAAGTTGAGCTAGAAATGAATCCGCATTTGTTCTCCATTGATTCGTAGAAATGTCAAATATAACCAGTTTATCAAAGTGATTCACCCATAACTCTTGAAGACTTGTAAAAAAACGATGAGTTCGCTTGTTCCATGGCAATGAATCCTTTAAAAGAGTAATAGATAATTTGAAATGCAAAGCTAGTTCAAAACATGCATCCTCAGCTGTCAAAATCTTTTTGGAAGTCAAACAGTAATTCTCTGTCTCACTTAAGCGTAAAGCTGATATAATTCGACGAAATTGCATATTTTGAGCCATGTATTGATACACTGCCTGGCTGCAGGCTCTGATGTAAAGTCTCTTGAGCTCAGTCACTACTTGTTCAACTGCATCCTTGTATTTTGCTGTCATACCTTGGGTTGCCAAAATAACAATACGTCTTAGACTTCCTATGTCATGAACTAAATGGTCTGCCATAATTTTCACATAAAAATCAATAAATAGCGAAGTTCGCAATTCTCGATCGGATTTTGATGACATTGTACCCCTTTCCTCGCAAGTTTCAGCGGGAATCCTCACAACGCTCTGCTTAAAACCAGACTCTTTTTTTTGAAAATATATTCCCTTCCCATTGAAGCGAAAGGTCCCAATATATGGAGAATAATGGGATCCAATTCTCGAACTAGGTGTTGAAGCAATACAATAACATGAACAAACAGGCTCAAATAACTGACTTTCTAGAACCTCGGGGAAGACAACTGATTCTGTTAGACCCGTGTAGTCTGGTGTAACCCCCACTGAAAAGAAGTCAAACGTCACAGCATAACCCAAATCCGGAACAATTTCTAGAAAAGGCCTAGGAATTCCATCCAAAAAATATGCAATGACCCTCTCAAAACGAAGAGCAACACTATTCTCATGCTGCAGGTCCATTGTCACCTCCACTATCAATCTTGTGATTATTAATTAATTTAAAAAAAATAAAAGAAATAAAGCACAAAAAAAATGCAAAATTAGTGCAGTAAACAAGTTTATTATTATTATTTTTTTTTTTATTATTATTACTATTATTATCAGAAACGTCACCCTGTATTCCCCCAAAAGCTTCATAAAGTGTTCCGAAAGAGTAGAATAAAAACAAAAATTTACACTTCCCGAAGTTTCTTAAAATCCAATCTATATTCCAAACTTTGTTTCAATTGATCTGTTACAAATTATAACCATGTAAGCTGTGTAACACCTTCTTCACAGTGATGTGCATTGATGCGCTTCAGTTCATACTCATAATCCTCCATCATAGTACAAATTTGATTCCTCATAAGCATACCGCGGCAGGTATAGACTATAACATAAAGTGCCACCCCCATGCCTATGGCCGGCGGCAATGGCCCCGCATAGTAAATACTATTCTTAAATATGTGACGGGGACCCCACAATTTAAACACAAGCATCACACTTGCTGTGGAAAAAGTCACAGAGCCAATAAAATAATGCCAGGCACGGCTTTGATGCCGAGCTAGTACCTCTATCCGATCGGCCACATTCAGGCGTTATACACGACCAATCTCGGAAACGTACTGAGAGAATTCTTGTCTTTGGTCCGGCGGCATTCTTACAGGAAATATCAAACAAAACCCCGCCAAAAAAATAAGAAGCTAATGCACACTCGAGGCCTAACCAATGAAATATTATTATATATATATATATATCAACAGCAGCTTCCCAAAAACAAGGACCAAAGTTTCTCCGCCAGACAGAAACCATCCCGAACAGAAACGACCGTGACCCCTGATAAAGACCGGGGAAGGCCCGCCAAAAAATCAAAAAGGCGAGAGGGACGGTCCCAATCCGCCGGTTGCGCGGAAGCCGCGCTTGTGACCTTGCCCCTCCCAATGCTGTGCCCTCCCGCCTTTTCTCTTTGCTGCCGCCTTCGGCGCGCGTGCCGCCACGCTGTTGGCGCGGGTTTTTCGGCGCCCAACGAAGTCTGACCCTCTTTTTCTCTTTGTCGATTGTTCGTACCTTGCTTTCCAGAAAAAGGCCGTGTTAAACGAAAAAAAAAAAAAGGCTGAACAACAAGGAAAATCATACCAAAAGGGGCGCCCCCATAGAGGCGAGCATGCCGGCAGCCCAGGGGCAACCCCCACCGCCGCCCGCAAGGCGACGCCGCCGCCCATTTGTAACTTCGTTTGTTGATTCTGTGCTTCCTTTTTTGCCAGCGAAGGACCTCCTTGCTTGTGCTGGTGTTTGCCAAATTTGGAGGGAGGAGGCCAATTCGCTTTCATTGTGGAGGGCCCTTCTCGCTGCCAATTCGGCCACTGCAATATACACTTATAGCAACTTCCCGCTTCGTGAAATTCAGAAAATCGTGTTGCAGAGAACCCCGCTAGCTGCAATAGGAACAACTTATGTAGGGCACGGTTTCACTTCTAATACAGGTGACTTTATTCAAAATTTGGAGAACGGAGCAGAAGCACGGTCAACAACTTTCATACACCGCCAGGCCACAAATAGGGTCTCTGAAAGAGGATTTTCTTCTGGATTATCATTTCCACGAACAGTGCATAACGAGTTAGGCGGGCCGAACCTTGAGATTACAACAACTTACGCGGACTTGAAAAGGAGAGCTGAATCCTTGATGAGCGAGATGGGATCTCTTCAGTCTTACATGTCATTATTGAAGGAGCAAACGTCTGCATCTACACGTGCTCTTGTTTATCTCTCTCAGCATCTCCCAAGTAGCGGAGCTGTGTTACTTCATCGAGAATGTTTAAGAGAATGGAAAAGGCTAAAATTGTTTGAAGAATTGGTTGTTAATTCTCTCTATTTAAGCATAGAATGTCCGCCACCATGTAGAGGGGTTCGATCCTTTGCACACGCCGAAATGGTGGGTCTTGGTGAAGTAGGCTCACTATTTCATCTGAATTGGTGTCGTTTTAAAAACGTCCTTCCATTGAATGATATTTACTTTGACTATATGAACTTATTGTATTCATATGGTCCAGGCATATTGTATCCCATAAAGCTGTCTCTTCTTGAAGAGGCTGAAGGAAAACGGAACCTTGCATGCTTTTCACGGCTTCGTGATATTGTTAACGATGTTATCAATCGAAAATATGGTGAGTCAAGAAACATTTCTTGGAATTTTCTTCTTCAGTGCTTGGAAAAGTAGTAGCCTCAGGAGAGATTTGAGGTTGTAGGATAATAAACTGGGGGAACGAAGCGATCGGGCGCCTAATTATGATGTATGTGCCTATCGTTGTTATGTTTTTTTTATGTTTTGGAAACCCAGATATCTGGGCTTTGTTTTTAATGGTCAGCTCAATGTTGTGAAGTTTCAAACGGTGTGGACGGACTCAGGAGGGATTATATCGCCTGGTTTGTGGTTTTTTTTTTTTTGGAATGACAAACGCTAAGGATGTCCCACCTTTACTTGCGATGTGTGACACTTAAGGTGGCAGACGAAAGGAAAACCGTCAACGTCAAAGTATTAGGTATACCGTGGGCCTCAAAGAGTGTGACTTTTTGAATGCAATGGTGGTGCTGGTCTCTCAACGTCTTGGCATTCACTGGGAGGAAGGTAACGTTATTCACATACACACACACACACACACTGATGAAGGTGCGATACTCCTGCATATATTGTTAGTAGAGTCAGTCAAAGCAAGGAAGTGAGAAATTCCAATACGTGTTTTGAAGAAAAAATTGGGTCAACGATGAAAAAGAAAAAGCATCAAATGTGATCCTATTAGTAAAATGAAAGCCTTTATCGGAAGAATTTATGCACTAAGGAGAGAAGCGGTGGCTGCCAATACAACTTTCTTTTGATGACGTCAAGGACGGCACAAAAGGAAAATAAGTGAAAAAGCTGAACGCTATCAGTCAATCAGAGTGTATTTTTCCATCAGTAGCTGAAAAGCGAATAAAGACGCCTATATGAAGATCATCTTTCCAGCATGAAAAAGACGCCAGGTTGATCCCTTGCTGTTGTATTTCGGTTGTGTTTACGCGGCTGTTATAACTCACTGTTGTCATAGTTTGTTGGGCCCACCACAAGTGTTTAATCTATTTACTTTTTCTAAGCAATTTAAGTTTTCAGCATGGAGGCAGTGAAATTGTACTGTATCAAGTCCAAGTGAGAAAATAGAAAGGGATGAAATAGACCTTGCAGCCCCTTCTGCTGCGCCTATGTGGCTCTTGCCCATGTCGAGCAGTGATGCATCTTTGATGAACTTTCAAACAAGGTTGGACCCCCCACGATCGTGGTAGAGCTCAAGCTGTCGAGGCAGGAGCGTGACGGGACGCAGGTGTCGACTGCCTCTGTGTCTGACTGGGCGCCCATCCGTTTTAAGGTCTTCTCGGAGGACATGAACAATGCTTCCAGGTACTGCACCGCTGCGGGAGAGTCCCGCCCGGACATGGAAGGGGGAACCTGTGTGTGCCGCCAGCAGGATGTTCTTACGGCCGAAAAAAAGTCCATCATCTTGAATCAGATGTTTCCCCGAGCCATCAAGCTGCATATGGATCGTCTCCACGTTAAACCGGTGAGGGGACAATTGGTTCTTCCAAATTTTTCGGCTGGAACATTATGCGGTAATTTTGAAATACCCAGCTCCCACCACACGACGGGTGTGTCCGGCGCGGACATGCTTTTGTACGCCGCTGCTGCCCCGATTCGAGGTTCTACTTATGCGTGGACAGTGGGGTGCTCCAAGATGCCCGATGGGCGTCCTGTGGTCGCGGTGATAAATATTGGCCCGCATTCAGTCACCGATTCG